GCAGCCGGGGAGGGCTCCCAGTGCCGGGAGATGCCCAGGGACAATCCCTTGCAGTAATTAGACCCCAGCCTCTGTGCTCTGCGGCTCCGTCCCGGCTGCGCGCTCCAGGTACAAACCACCCGAGCACAGGTGGGTCCCGCAGCCTGGCGGCTTCGCTGCTGGGGAAGTGTCTCCTGAGGGCTCTGGAGACAGTGGCTGGGTTCCCCCCTGCCGGGCGCACGACTCGCAGCGCTCAGTGCCAGGTTGTGCTCTGGCGTGGATGAGCCGAGCTCCCAGGCCTGGGGAAAAGGGGCGGCGTTGGGGGAGGGCGGCGTTCAGTCGTGGGTGACCCGCTCACCAATGTCAAAAATCGGGGTGGAGGTGGGAGGGGGGCGTCATAAGCACCTACCTCCGAAAAAGCCCTAAATAGTGGGACTGTCGCTAGAAAATCGAGACCTCTGGTCACCCCTCCCGCTGTGTTTCCCCAGGAGGCTGGGAAGCCCTAGGTCTTCACCCTGGGCTTTATCCTAGGAGCAGACCCTAAACAGGAGAGTGGAGCAGGGGGAGAGGTGGATGGGGCGGGGGAGGCTGCAGCTGAGTCCAGCTAGTGACTTTTGAGAGCAGCCTTCAACTTCCTGAAGGGGGGTTCCAAAGAGGATGGAGAGAGGCTGTTCTCAGTGGTGGCAGATGGCAGAACGAGGAGCAATGGTCTCAAGTTGCGGTGGAAGAGATCTAGGTTAGTTTTTTCCTAATATCCATTTCCATAGGAGGGTGGGGGAGCACTGGGATGGGTTCCCTAGGGAGGGGGTGGAATCTCCATCCCTAGAGGTTTTTATGTCCCAGCTTGAGGAAACCCTGGCTGGGATGATTGAGTTGGGTTGCTCCTGCTTTGGGCAGGGGGCTGGACTCAGACTCCTGAGGTCTCTTCCAGCTGGAGGGTTCTGTGATCTATCTGCCCCTGGAGTGGGTGTGGCGGGGGAGCAGAGGAGCCGGCTCAGGGCAGCCCTCTGTTCCCTTAGCCCTGCGGCGAAGCGCTAGGCTACCCGTTCTCTGGACTGAGCCTGAGGCGAAGTCTACACAGGTGCTTTACAGGGCTCTGACTTACTGCTCAGGGGTGTGGGAAAACACTCCCGTCCCATCCCCCGAGCACAGCACGGTCCAGGGCTGTAAAGCGCCCGCGTGAACCCCTGTTAGCTACTCCCCTGGTTTCCAGCCTGCCCTGGCTGCGCCTTCAACTTGTAAAACAGTCGACAAAGTTCACGGTAGGGAATGTAAGCGACTAGTTGACTCTGTCCTCAAGTCCCTGCTCTGCAGAGGGTTCATGGAGGGCAGCAGGGGACACCTGCCTGTCTCCAAGGCAGCAAGGGGGAGCAGGAGCCAGCTTAAAAGCTAATTCCCCCCAGCACCGTCTCCGCGGGGAGAAGGGGCGGAGGTGCAGCCTGGGTAGGCTCTTGCTACATTTCAACGGCAGAGGTGCCCTTATCGACTAATCCAGTAGTTGATGGAAATGATATTGACTATTTGATTTAGTTGATTAATCTAAATTGAACATCCTTAGTTCATGGGAAGGGCTGGGGTGATGGCGGAGGTGGATTTGTGTCCCTTTCACTGACTCCCGGCTTGGGGGGATGGGGAGGGGTGTCCTCCTCCTCTGGGGTGTTTCTCTATCCGGCGGCCCGTCCAGCACTGGGACAGCGGGGGGTGCGGCGTGGCAGGGTGTGTGGGAGGCCCAAGAATGGACGAACGGTGGGAGGCTCTCGGCGGGAAGGGGGAGCCCGGAGAGGGATTGTCTCTGGAAAGCCAGGTGGAAGAGCAAGGCAGAGCTGGAGTCGTGGGAGCGTGCAGGGCCGGGACAGCGGGGGAGCCCTGGGTCGGGACTGAGGGGCTGGCAGAGCCGTGTGCAGGGAGCTGGCGCTCTGGGCGCTACGGCCAGGACTAGCAGCATGGGGGTGGCTTGGACACGCCCGACTGATGCTGGGAAGAAGGGGGTTTCAGCGAGGGCTAGACCCGCACCTTGTAAAAGGAAGGGAGGGGGGAGTGTGTGGGGGGAGCCGGTAGCAGCTGGTGCTGGTCCCACCGTGAACTCTCTCCCCACCCCCGCACTCTCTGCCACCTACCTCCCCGAAAGGCCTCGCCCGCTTGAATCGCCAGGAGCCGGGATGTTCTTGGAATGCGCAGGGTTGCTCAAGAGCGAGCCCGGGGCTGGGAATGGCTCCAGCAACACGGGCTAGGTGTGGGGCCGGGGAGGGGCTGGTGCCGTAAGAAGGCAGGGCAGCCGTGCTCTGCGGGAGGGATTGGAGGCAGCCTCTCTGACCGGCCTTGGTTTCCTTTGCCTCGCAGCCGGTGCACAGAAGCCCCGGGCGAGCTGCGT